AAATGTCAGCTTTCCTGCTCCTCCGATGCTGCCTGGCCTGCTGTGTTCCTCCAGCTCCACACCGTGTTATCTCAGACTCCAATATCGGCAGTTCTTACTATCTCTCAGGGTTAACATTGAGATAACACAGTTTCTCCAGCAGATGTTGTCATGTGCTGAGTATTTCCAGCATTACTTGTTTTTCTCTAAGATTGTGCCCCTTTGTTCAGCACTCTCTCTCAGAGGTACCCTGCTCAAATTGCCCTTCAACCTTCTAAATTCAAGGGAATGCATGTGTAACCCATGCAGCTAATCTTTTTAATTTAATGTTTTAAGCACCGGCATCATTCTGAAGAACATATGTGATATCAGCTCCAAAGCCAGCATATCCTGTCTTCCTTGACATCTGATTTTTGTGCTCTGGGGAAATATGGTGGTGATGAGCTGCATTCTGCAGTCAACACTACTAAGGAATTCCTCAGTTGCACCCACACGCAACTCACTTTAAGCTGCATTGTTTTTGTATTGTTGTGCTCTTCCCTTGCCATGTGTTCACAAACTTCGTCCTTGGGTTTAAACTCATCTTGTATTTGCCCATCTCTGTTTCTGTAATCTCCTCCAACCAACCTCCCCTGCCTTTGCAGCTGAAAGCACATCGTTCCACTGGCTCTCTGATCTGCCTCAGTTTTGATATGGAGGTGCCGGTGTTGAAAAAGTCAGAAGGCATACCACACCAGGTTATAGTCCAACAGGTTTATTTGAAATCACAAGCCTTCGGAGCACAGTTCCTTCATCAGATGAAGTGACTTCACCAGGATGTGCTAAACCGAGATCTCAGGTGGGCATAAAATGTCCCAAACCATTGTTTTGGAAAAAAGTGAACTTATACCAGCTGGAAGGACAACAGCAGCAGATACATGGGGACACCGTCGCCTATAGGTTCTTCTTCAGAAGTGAAGAAGTCATACCTGACTCAACGTTGACTCTGTTTCTCTCTCCACAGATGCTGCCAGACCTGCTGAGTTTCTCCAGCAATTTCTGTTTTGGTTTCAGATTTACAGTATCCACATACTTTGCTTACGTCCACTAAAACAGTGGTCTAGAAATTGCGAACGCAGACAAAATACTCAATATCTGACCCTAATCAGACACAAAGATATACAGTTGCACTTAGTCTGGGATCAGTTAGCTCAGTTGGCTTGGTGGCTCATTTGCGATGTAGAATTTCCATACCAGCTGAGGTTACTGTGAAAGTCCCACCTTCTCAACTTCGCCCCTCACCTGAGATGTGGTGACCGTGATGTTAAACTCACCACTGATCGTCCCCTCTATCGAGAGAGCATCACTATGGTCCTCTGAGATTAGGATGACTTTGCATTAGAACATCTGGGCTCTCACCTATTGATTATCAGCTGTTCATAGGAACTTGCTGTGCACAAATTAGTTGTTGCATTTCCTGCATTAACAACTGTGATGGCACTTTTTCTTAACTCATAACTGTAAATGCTTTGAGGGCTTTCTCAGTTGTGAAAGGCGCTATAAAAATGTACGTTGGTTTGTGTTTCTGCATCTGGAAGCCATATGTTCATTTTTCTGAAAGTACAAACCAGGCTTCTTGGCATGAACCAGCTATTGGTATCAATGGTCAGTAAATGTTGACTTTAGAGTGACTGTCTTCGTGCTACTGTGACTTAGGTACCAAACTATGGAATGCAGTGGAGGTAATCCCCTTTTAAGAGGATGAAGTGATGTTTGTACGGAACAACTCTATTCATGACATAATGGAACTTCCCCAGAGCAGATGAATCATTCTACAGCTAAACTGTTTTTGTAGACACAGATGTTGAGCTCTGATTGTCCTGTGTTTGTGTTTATGATTCGTTCTGGCTGCTTAGTGATTTCATGGCTGCAGGTGATTGCTCCATTAGGAAGTGAACTTCATGGTTCTGTTCACACAGTGATTCATCAGCCACAGAGTCTGCACCTGGAAACTGACGACAGGTTATTTATACTACTGAGAAACAGGAGCATTTTAACCCTGTTACAAAAACAAAATGCTGGAAGTCTGAAAAAAAAAGCAAAAAGTGCTGGAGGTCTTCAGCAGGCCTGGCACCCTCTGCTAGGAGAGAAGCACACTTAACGTTTCAGGACTGTAACATTTCACCTCTGCTGGCAGCACAACAACAGCATACATTTATGAGTCTTTAAACAAGTGAAGCATCTCAAGACCTTTCACAGTTGCATTAGAGTCATAGTGATGTACAACTGGGAAACAGACCTTTTGGTCCAAATAGCCCATGCCAACCAGATATCCTAAATTAATCTAGTCCCATTTGCCAGCATTTGGTCCATATCCTTCTAAACACTTCCTATTCATATACCCATCCAGATGCCTTTTGAACGTTGTAATTGTACCAGCCTCCTCCACTTTCTCTGGCAGTTCATTCCATACACACACCACCCTCTATGTGAAAAGGTTGCCCAATAGCTTCTTTTTAAATCTTTCCCCTCTCACCTTAAACCTATGCCCTCTAGTTTTGGACTCCCCACCCCAGGGAAAAAAGCCTTGTCTGTTTACCCTATCCATGCCCATCATGATTTCAGAAACCTCTACAAGGTCACTCGTCAGCCTCCGACAATCCAGGGAAAAATAGCCTCAGCCTATACAGCCTTTCCCTATAGCTCAAACCCTCAACCCTGGCAACATCCTTGTAAATCTTTTCTGAATCCTTTCAAGTTTCACAACATATAGCAGGGAGACCACAATTGCACGCAGTATCCCAAAAGTGCCCTAACGAACGTCCCGTAAATCGCAACATAACCTCCCAACTCCTTTACGCAATGCACTGACCGTTAGAGGCAAACATACCAAACATCACCCTCACTGTACTATCTACCTGTGACTCCACTTTCAAGGAACTATGAACCTGCACTCCAAAGTCTCTTTGTTCAGCAACACACCTCAGGACCTTACCATTAAGTGTATAAGTCCTGCCCTGATTTGCCTTTCCAAAATGCAACGCCTCACGTTTATCTAAATTCCATCTGCCACTCCTCGGCCCACTGGCCCATCTGATCAAGGTTCGACAAATCAGACAAATGCTTGACACAGAAATATAAAGTGACACATGTCTTACAGGGGAGAGAGATGGTAATGTTTAAGATTGAGTTCCAGAACATAGCTGCAGGCCGCTAAAGACGCTGTTTCGAATGATTGCTCACTATGGTTTGAGGGGTCCTTGCAATGCAGAGTATGATCTGTTCTTACATAATGCTTAGTACCAGATAATAGAGTCTTAACAGAGAACTTAGTAACTGTGCTTGGTGGACTTCAGACTGTTCTGGGGAACAGGAGGCATCTTCGTAAACATTGCAACATGCTACATCAGACCCCATTCCCCTCTTTTGACAACCCCCTCCCCCCACTCAAATCCTTGGTCCCTTAACCATCTTAAATTCCCAAGTGATCACATCAAATGCCATCAAATCAGACCACAAGTCCTCTCTGAGTCCTTCCCACCGCACTAGTTGAAAGCTTTTGTTTTAATTTTATGAAACTCTTTGATAGTCAGCCTCAGCAGCTTTTCTAGGAGTTGAGCAAATATTTTGTTGGGTTTCATGAATGAATGCTCCAATTGCAGAGCTCTACCATAGTGGGAGCCTGCATCGGTTGCAAGGATCGCTGTACATTTTTTAGGGCCCAAAGAAGGTCTGCAATTGAATTTTTGACTATTGCTTTGGGAACTCTTCACTAGAAGAGCTGCATCATGTCAATTGGGCCCTGGGTCTGAAATTATCATTCTGATTGAATCCTACAAAATCTTGGGGGTGACTTGACAGGGTAGATGTGGAGAGAGTGTTTTATCTTACTGGAGAATCTCAAATTAGGTGTCACTTTAATAAGACCTGTTTAAAACAGGTATTGGTCAAAATCTTTTCTCTGAGGGTTGTGAATTTTGGAACTTACCTTCTGTGGAAGAGATGTTTGAATATTTTTAAGGTGCAGCTAGATAGATTCTTAATAAGCAAAGGGGAGAGAAGCTATTGGGATAGACAAGAATGTGGATTTATGATTACAATCAGATCAAGCATGATCTTATTAAATGGCATAGCAGGCTTGTGGGGACAGATTGCCTACACCTTGCTCCTTGTTCATATGTTCCTCTCTGCACTGATACTGTCAGACCCAATAAGCATTACCAGCATTTTCTGTTTTTATGCCTAATCTACTTTTGGCAAATTTGCCACAGCAAAAGTGACGGATTCCTACTAAGCCCACAAGTAATTTCTGTGCAATTAATTATTTTCAGGATATACGCAGTTTGTGTTACCATCTCATATCACCTCCAAACAAGTCCAAGGATGGAAACAAAGAAAAGTCCAGCAAAGACAAGGAGAAAGAACCGAAGGAAATGTTTGAGGAGGCTATTCGAGATCTCAAAATACAATGGCTACCCAAGTATGTAACAAAAATTCAGCCAATTTGTTAGGAACACATAACGACGAAGATAATTTAGATCTCACAGTGAAAGTGGGGAGTTCAAACACCAGCTCGTAGCTATAATAACTTTGCTGCAGGAGACCACTTAACCTGTGTTTCACCCCGTTCAAAATTTGGGTTGCTGATTTGAAGGTTTGCACGAACACTGACTAATTTTCTGGCACGAGGTGTTGACTGGTTAATTATTCCACCAGAAAAGCAACCCATCTCCTGGAGTTGCTTTGGTTCCTTTGCAGCATTACATAATTTAGAATTGGATTGTATTCCTGTGCCTAGTTTAAGATCAGTGCTCCGTCTTGTTAAAGCCCAAGGCTGGTAGTTATTTATCTACAAGAATATCATAGACATATAAAGGTGTATTCATAACTTTTGTATTCACTGAAAGCAGTTTTATTATTTGCCAGTCAATTTGGTAGCACTGATGGAACAGGTGAGGGACAGGGTTTTATTTTAGGTCAAGGATCTTCCTTCAGAGCTTGAAAATCAGAAAATAAGGTGATTGAGTTGAAACATTACCTCTTTGCAGAGGTTGCCTGACCTGCTGAATACTTCCTGTGCTTTCTGTTTTATTACAGATTTGCAGCATTCTTGATGTTTGGTTTTTATTATTATTTGTCATTGTGGCTTTATTGAGAGTCCTTTCTCATCTTTTAATCGGAAGATTGAGGATCTGAGTTTCGCCCTAAATCACTGAGCATTAAAACCTGCACCAATACTCCAATGCAGCCATGGGGAAGCACTGCATTGTTGGAGGTGCCATCCTTTGAAAAAACCATGAAGCTGAGTCCATTTCTGCCCTCTCAGATATACTTGAGTGATCTAATGATATGATTTGAAAAAGAGCAAAGGAGCTGTCCACAGTATCCAACCAAAGATTTACCCCTCTACAAATGCCACTTTAACAATACCTCACATTGCTGCGTGTGCGAGTTGGCTGTAGTGTTTCTAATTAGACCAATCAGGAGTCTAAAACCCAGCCCCAAGACACCCTTTTGAAGAAGAACAAAAGAAGGTATTCCTGATGTTCTGGCTAATAAAAAAAATTCCTCAATTAATATTGCAAACATAAATATTTTCTGCCCATTATCATATTGCTGTTTGTTGAAGTTTGCAGAGTGTAAATTAGTTGCCACTTTTTCTACATTGCAACAGTTCAAAAAGTTTCTTCATTTGTTGTAAACAGCTATGAGACACGATGCTCATGAAAAGAACAAAGTTGTGATTTTTTTTCATTTATTTGGTTTTTAAATCCCTCTAGCATTGAAAGTTCAAATATCAGTGACTGTTGGAGCACTCCTCCCCTTTCTAAAAGGACTACTTGCCACACACATTCCTTCATTTCTGCTGAACTCCCATTTGATCCAAACATGGCTGTCTTTCAATAATACCCAGTCCAGCCTAGTCTAGTCAACTCTGTTTCCAAGCTGATTCATGTATGTCCTAATCAAATGTGAATACTTCCTTCTGTTACAGATTGGATCTGCATGAGGAATTGGTATCAGAGTACCCGAATCACTTGCCTGTACATACCGCTTATCTCTCCAACCTCAACTCAGCAAAGGTGTGTTTTGCCTCATACTCGATGTTGTTGCCCTGCTGTCCTTCATTCCTGCATACTGTTCACCTCAAACAGCTATAGTTAGGTTGTTTTTCAGGTGATGTACAAACATCTACAGGGAGTTGGTGGCATGGTGGTAATGGCACTGGGTTAGTAATGTAGAGGCCCAGGCTAATGCTGTAGGGGAAGGGCTTCAAATCCCAGTGGCGGAATTTTAAATTCAAGAATTAAAATGTCTGAAATTTAAGGCTATTGTCAGTAATGGTGACCGTGACAACTGTCCACTATTGTAAAAATCTACCTGGTTCACTATAGCCCATTCAGGAAGAAAATCTGCTGGCTTTACCTGGTCAGGGCCACATGTGACGACAGACCCACAGCAATGTGCTTGACTCTTAGCTTTCCTGTTAAGAGGTCCTAGAAAGCCACTCAGTTCAAAGAATATAGGAACAGGAGTAGGCCGTTTAACCCCTTGAGCCTGTTCCACCGGGACAGTTAGGATGGGTACCAAATGCTGGTCTTGCATGTGACCCCCACATCCTATGAAGGAACGTTAATGAATAGAAACTTAACACAGCAAGAACACATATTTGTGACCGGTATTCGTTGATGTGTGGGTGGAGGGGGACAAAGGTGAGCCCTTTACTGAGGCCCCGCCTCTTTGACCTGTCTGTCTCCTCTCCACCTATCTTCTCCTCTATCCATCTTCTATCCGCCTCACCCTCTCTCCCTATTTATTTCAGAACCCCCTTCCCCTATTTCTGAAGAAGGGTCTAGGCCCGAAACGTCAGCTTTCCTGCTCCTCTGATGCTGCTTGGCCTGCTGTGTTCATCCAGCTCTACACCTTGTTATCTCAGATTCTCCAGCATCTGCAGTTCCTACTATCTCAAGAACACATATTGCCTGTTTTTCTTCCAACATTGGATCAAAATCCTGGAAGTCCCTACTGAATGGAACTAAGGGAATACTAACAGCAAATGAACTGTTGTAGCTCAATTAGGTGACTTCTCACCATCACAATCTGAAATACAGTCTGGATAAGCAATGAATTCTGTCCATCCTAGCAATGTCAATGTCTTCAGAATGGTTTTCTGTTAGTGATATCACCTGGCTTTTTTTCCCACTGCATTTATCGAGAATAAATGCCTTTATTGCTAGCCCCCTAGAAACTGACTGCTGTGTGATGTATTTTTGTTCATCTGATGTGGACATTATGAGATAGGCTGCATTTATTGCCCAATCTTAATTGCCCTTAACGTATTCTGCACCAAGACATGATAAAATTGCTTCTTAGTGGAGTTGACACTTCAGCTCAAGGAGTCTTTCCCTGCTCATCCATTTATTAGCATAATTTCAATTTGACTGTTTTCTACTCCTCTATTACAAGGCTAAATCTCACTGACAAAATTGCTCCCATCTCTTTGCAGATCTGTGACTATGATCATTCAGAGTGCTACTTAGAAAGCCAAGTAGTTGCTTTGAACTTTGAATATTGCTGATGTTGCTTGCAGCAGCATGAAGTATTTGTCTGGATCGTGCTTATACTGAATTGAGGCACTGATCTCAGTCAGTACTGGAGTAGGAGAATGCTGAACACAGATTATTGGATGGTTCATTTTCTAGGGACCGTTACCAAGCTATATGGTTGCAGTGGTATTGACGTCAGCAGTGGTAGACTCCTGGGTGAAGGGAGGATGATCCTTCAGGAAGAAATCTTTCACAAAAGATTTAACAGGGCATACTTTCAAATGTGTCATTGTAAATATTAGCATAATATCTATAACTGCAACAATTGATTTGTTTGCAGCTAATTGGCTTGCTAAGAAAGTAGAACAGAATTGGTAACTTGAGTTCTGTGGAGGTAAGGCCAGATTAACGTCTTGTCCATGAAGGACATTATGAACCTATTGGGTTTTTATGATGAACCGACAACTTGCAAGGTCAGTTTCATTGAGCCCTTTTATTGTCAGATTGGGTTTAGACTCTGGGTTGCTAGTCTAATACTATAACTTAAAGGTTGCTGTAACCAGTTTATGTTGTGAAATAGTACAATTTCTTTTTATTATGCTGTATATTCATAAATCACTAGTTAAGTCTCAGCTGGAGTATTGTGTCCAGTCTGGAGCTCTCACTTTAGGAAGGTTGTCAAGTCATTGGAGATGGTGCAGGAGTGATTTAATAGGTTGGTGGTTACAATACTTCAGTCATGTGGGGAGAGAGTAGAGAATCTGAGATTCTGTCCTTGGAGCAGAAAGGGTGAAATTGAATACAGGGGTTCAAGCAAGAAACAGCTTTTACTAACAGCAGGCCAGTAGCCTGGGTTGCTGATTGGTCTGGAATGCGCTGCTTGAAAGATAGAAGCTGATTCGTTGGTAACTTTCCAAATGGCATTGGATAAATACTTGAAACGGTAACATATACAGGAGAAGGAGCTGGGAAGCAGAGCTAATTGGACAGCTCTTTCAAAGAGAACGTGCAGGCATGATGGGTGAATAGTTTCCTGTGCTGTATGGTTCTGTGCCATTAATAGTGTGTGAGCATTGCTTGCAGAGCTGACATTTGTTGCCCTGAGAAGGTGATGGTAGGCTTTCTTTTTCTATTTTATAACTATGGAATATAACTGAATATCTTGTTGGGCCAGGCCAAAAGTCTGTTAAGTTGTGGGGCTAGTGTCACAAGTAGGCTCAGAACAGGCAAGAGTAGAAGGTTTTAGAACATATGTTTTCTTCCCTATAATGGGCTGCTTAGACTTTTGCTGGAGCTGTTTCTGTTTAATTCTAGATTTTATTAAACGATTAAATTCAGGTTCTCGGGCTGTAATGCAATTTGAACTCAGACTGCTCCTATGATGCTGCTTGGCCTGCTGTGTTCATCCAGCTCTACACTTTGTTATGTCAAAATTTTGCTTCCCTTTCTCAGGATCGGATGAAGAGACTTGATGAAATTATTCGAGCGGCTGATATAGTTATCTCACACATTGATCAAAGTGCCCTGGTTACCTATTTGGCCATGAAGAATGACCCAAGACCAGATGCTGCCACTATCAAAAGGTACCTTGTCAAAACACATGTCTGCAGTCAGAAGACGTAGAATACAAACATATCGAAATGTTGAGCGTCAAAGTCTGCCTCCCTCCCTTCATGATGGCAGGAGCATCATGATTAGACCATTCCAACTGCTGCCTTTGCAGCCCTAGGAGGAGCAAAGCCCATCAGAGTAATCACAGCTCTTAAAACTCCTGATAAAGTTAGAAGCCATTAGCTTCATGTATTTGAGCAGATGTGTGCTCATAAGTATTGCAACAGTGACACCTGTAGGTAAGAAATACTTATAAATCTTTAACCAGCCCTTGACTTTCAAAATATTTGTCTTGTTTGCAATCATATGTTTTGTCCCATAAATGTTCTATGTATCCTGCACCAAATTAAATTTTTTATATAGCAGACCTCCGACATGTAAATATCAAGATTCACATTTTCTGATTGAGTCTCCATTCTGAACAGTAGAGCTGTGATCTGGGCGTGCAGGTCCACAGTTCCCTAAAAGTGGTAATACAGATGGCTAAGGTGATTAAGAAGGCACATGGCATGCTTGCCTTCATTAGCCAAGGCACTGGCTCTGAAGAAAGGTTAAAAAGACTAGAACAGTTTTCACCTCAAAGACTGCAGTTGAGAAGAGACGTGATAGAGGACTACAAAATTATGAGAGGCATAGATAGGGTGGATAGTAAAAGGCTTTTTCCCAGGGTTGAAGTTGCAATTACAATGGAGCACTGGTTCAAGTTCAGAGGGGGAATGTTTAAGGGAGATGTGCGAGGAAGGTTTTTCACGCAGAGAGTGGTAGAAGCCTGAAACGCACTGCCAGAAGAGGTGGTGGAAGCAGGCACGTTGGCGACAGTTTAAGAGGCATCTCTGGATGGTTACATGAGTAGGGAGGGAGTAGAGGGATATGGACCGAATAAGGGTAAAAGGTTTGTTTTTAGTTTAGTTAGGGCATGACGATTGGCACAGGCTTGCAGGCCTGAATGGTCTGTTTCTGCTGTACCTCTCCTTTCTCCTTTGAGTCTCAGCCTGCATATTCATTACTTTAAACAGAACAACTTGCTATTTTTACATGGGCTAAGCATTATTTTGCGGTATTGTGCAACTTAGAGTCATATTATTGCCAATATTGCAAATGGTGCTAAACATTGTGTACAGTTGTCAGCAAATGTCCTCAGTTCTAACCTTATGATGGAGGGAATATTCTTGATGAAACAGCTAAAGATTGCTGGATCTAGGACGTTATCCCGAGGAAACTATCTCTGAGCCAAGAGGCTTAGTTTCAATTCCCACCTGCTCCAGAGTATTGTAATAACTCCTTTGAACAGGTTGATTTGAAAATATCTACCCTGAGGAATTCCTGCAGTGACTGAGATGACTGACCTTTAACAATCGCAACTATCATCCTTGAACTAGATACGACTGAAACCAGCACAAAATTCTCCCCCCTTACTCCAGTTGACTCCAAGTTTACTAGGGTTCCTTGATGCCACTCTCAAGTCAATTGCTGACTTCACATCAATGTAAGTCAGTCTCAGCTGACCTCTGGAGTTTAGCTTTTGAACTCTTTTGGTGTCTTTTATCCATTTTTGATCCAAGGCTGTAATATTGTCAGAAATTGAGTGGCCCTGGTGGAATCCAAACTGAGCACCAATGAGTAGGTTATTGCTGAGTAAATGCCACTTGATAGCTCCATTCCCTTGCTGATGGTCAGTGATAGATGAGGCAGCATTAATTGGCTGCGTTGTATTTGTGCTGTTGTCAGATAGCTGAAGAGATAGTGGATGTGTTAGTGGTGATCTTTCAGGAATCATTGGAGTCAGGGAGAATCCCAGAGGACTAGGAAACCGCGAATGTAACACCCCTGTTTAAGAAGGGAGTAAGGCAAAAGATGAGATATTGCAGGCCGATTTTAGCCTAACCTCAGTTGTTGGTAAGATTTTGGAGTTCATTTGTGAAGGATGAGATTTCTGAATATTTGGAAGTGCATGGTAAAATAGGGCAAAGTCAGCATGGTTTCATCAAGGGGAGGTCATGCCTGACAAATCTGTTAAAATTCTTTGAGGAAGTAATGAGCAGGTTCGACCAAGGAGAGCCAATGGATGTTATCTACCTGAACTTCCAGAAGGCATTTGACAAGGTGCCGCACAGGAGACTGCTGAGTAAGATAAGAGCCCATGGTGTTGGAGGCAAGGTGTTAGCATGGATAGAAGATTGGCTGTCTGGCAGAAAGCGGAGAGTGAGGATAAAAGGGTCCTTCTCAGGATGGCAAGTGATGTTCCACAAGGGTCAGTGTTGGGACCACAACTTTTCACTTTATACATTAACGATCTAGATGAAGGAATTGAGGGCATTCTGGCTAGGTTTGCAGATGATATAAAGGTAGGTGGAGGTGCGGGTATATTGAGGAGGTGGGGAGCCTGCAGAAAGATTTAGACAGGTTAGGACAGTGGGCAAGAAAGTAGAAGATGGAATACAGCGTGGAAAAGTGTGAGGTTATGCACTTTGGTAAGAAGAATAGAAGCATAGACTATTTTCTAAATGGGGAGAAAATTTAGAAATCTGAAGTGCAAAGGGACTTGGGCGTTCTAGTCCAGGGTTTCTCTTAAGGTAAACTTGCAGGTTGAGTCAGTAGTTAGGAAGGCAAATACAATGTTGCCATTTATTTTGAGAGGGCTAGAATATGAAAACAGGCATGTAATTCTGAGGCTTTATGAAGCTCTGGTCAGACCACATTTAGAGTATTATGAGCAATTTTGGGCCCCATACCTCAGGAAAGATGTACTGGCTCTGGAGTGGGCTCAGAGGAGGTTCAGGAGAATGATCCCAGGAATGAAAGGCTTAACTTGAGGAACATTTGAGGTCTCTGGGTCTTTACTCAGTGGAGTTTAGAAGGATGATTGGGAGTTCTAATTGAAACTAACAGATTACAGAACTGCCTGGACAGAGTAGACGTTGGGAAGATGTTTCCATTGGTAGGAGAGACTAGGACCTGAGGGCACAGCCTTAGAGTAAAGGGAACACCTTTTAGAACAGAGATGAGGAGAAACCTCTTCAGCCACAGAGTGGTGAATCTAAGGAACTCACTGCCACAGAAGGCTGTGGAGGCCATGTCTTTGAGTATATTTAAGACAGAGATGGATAAGTTCTTGATTGTCAAGGGAAGAAAGCAGGAGAATGAGGTTGAGAAACTTATCAACCATGATTGAATGGCAGAGCAGACTCGATGGGCCGAAAGGCCTAATTTCTGCTCCTATGTCGTATGGACATACCTGAGCAATTTTCCACCTTGCTGGTTGGATGCCAGTGCTCTCGCATACTCGATCAGCATTGCTAGTTCTGGAGCACATGTCTTCAGTACTATTGCTGGACTGTTGTTAGGGCCCCATAACTTTTGTAGTATCCAGTGCCTTCAGCCATGTCACGTAAGGTGAATCAGATTGGCTGGAAACTGGTACCTGTTATACCGAGATTGATCATCCACTCAGCACTGCTGTGCTGGGCTCTCCTTCACTGAGGATGGGAATATTTGTGGAACCTCCTTATCCAGTGAATTGTTTAATTATCCACCACTATTCACAAATGGATGTGGCAGGACTACAGTGCTTAGATGTGATTTGTACGTGGTTGCGTAGCTGTTTATCATTTGCTCCCTAAACTGTACAGCACACAAGTATTGTGTTATTGCTTCATCAGGTTGACACCTTATTTTCAGGTAAGCCTGGTGCTGGTAGTGGCATTAAAAGTCATCCACTGTACCATGAGCCTGCAGTACATGGAGATGAGATCAAATAAAGGATGATAGGTTTCCTTCCCTAAAGGGCATCAATGAACAAATGAGTTTTTATGATAATTGACAATGGTTTCATGGTCACCATTACTGGGGCTAGCGTTTAATTCTAGACTTAGCAGAATTTATCAGGGTTAAATTCCTCCGCCATCCATGTGGGACTTGAACCCTTGTCCTCACAGTACTCACTGGTCCTCTGGAGTGCTCCTGATATTAGTGGCAGTGACATTACCACTCCACCACCACCACCTCCCTGAATATATACAAATTGGTATGTATCTGCATAAATAAACATGCATATAATCCCTTAGACTTTGATAATGAAAGCTAAGTATCTTCACCATGTTCCCATTATTTATCCCTTTTAATTAATGATATCGTTCTGGTGAAACTGCATCGTGCACTCTCCAAGGCCTTACAACTGAACATCACTTCCTCCCATTTTTATTGCAGCCTGTTTGAGATTAACCCTTTCTTTTTACAATCTGTTCCTGTTGCTGAGCTTTTCATGCAATCCCCCAAATTTCTTTACTCCTGTGTGGGATTATATTTTGATTTGTATTTCAGGCATACACAGCAGCTGATTTCACATTTTCTCCATTACACTTCGTTGGTCATAATTTCTCCCATACATGTACTCGGTCCACATCTCACAGTAACTTCCTACATATGCTTTTAGCACTTCCAGACTTGGAGTAACATCACTAAAATCGGCTCCTATAATTGTTTTTCAGCTTTTTGAATGCAGTCAGTTTGATTTTGGGTGAGTTGTGGAGAGTATTTTGCAAAGTGTGGGTGGAGGGAGGCAGTGATGAGTTGGTAATGTCACTAGGTGAGTAATCCAGAACCTCAGACTCATCCACTGGGAATGCGAATCGCAACATGCCAGACGGTGAAATTTGAATTCAATAAAAATCCAGCCTAGTGACAATCATGGTACTACCAATTGTCGTAAAAACCCATCTAGTTCACTAACATCTTTTAGAGAAGGGAATCTGCCATCCTTATCTGGCTTGGCCTACGTATCGCTCCACACCCGCAGCAAGGTGGTTGACTCTGAATTGCATTCTGGACAATTGGGGATGAGTAATAAATGCTGACCTCACCAGTGACATCCACATGTCAAAACAATTAAAAAGCACTTTCTAGAAGGGCATTTATTGTGCACACTTGACAGCAAACCATCACAAAAGCAGCTTTTAGGGCAGGTGACTAAAATCTTGGTCAAAGAAGTAAATTTGAAGCAGTGTCTTGAGAGAGAATTAGGCAAGAAAGTCCGGAGTTTGCTACCCAAACTGTTGATGGACAAGAGCCGAAAGATGTGTAGAAGACCTTGGAGGTTGTCAGGCAGCAGGAGTTTCCAAAGATTAGTACATTTTGGAAGACTTTGAAAATTTTACAACAAAGCATTGGTGAAACAAGAGCCCGTGTTGATCAGCAAGAGCAGGTCTGCCATGATCCTGTTAATGGTGGAGCAGGTACAAGGGGTCAGATGGCCTACTCCTGTTTCTATTTCTTATGGTCTGATGGACAGGGTTTCATTACAACATTAAAAATAGGAGCAGGAGTAAGCCCTTTGGCTCCAAGCCTCTCCTGCCATTCAACAAGGTCATGGCTGATCTGCCCCAGGCCTCAAACCCTCTTCTGGTCCAGTTCAACATAGCCATCAACTTCCTGAAATTTCAAAAATCTAGCTAATTCCTCTTTAAATAATTTCCAGTATCGTTGGGTGAATGTGACTTGGTACATGTTAGGATAAGGACAGCAGATGCCGCTGTCCACCCTAGTCCCAGCCTAGTTTCTCTTGAAGCCAATCACTCAGTAATTGGACTGACTTTCTGTTTTCAGTGAGATGGAGAAACAGAAGTCTGCCCTGATCGATGCCCTTTGCCTGAAAGGATGTGCACTGGCTGATACACTTCTCCAGATCAAGTTGCACGATGAGACGACATCAAGCAAACTAGTCTGTCACCATGAGAATGATTGGGACCACATCCGCAAGAGCCTGTCAGACACTTTCGATGATGTCCAGAAGTGGATCGATCTCACCGATAGTAAGGTAAATTACAAATATTGAACAAAGGTGAACGGTTTTTCCACCAGTGTTGAAATCTGTCTTCCTCATATCATCTGATTAAAAAGCAATGGGACATGCAGGTGTAAAGCCACAATGTCAAGTTTTAACAGTGGAAGCAAGAACAATCCATTCAGCCCCTTAATCCTGTCCTACTACACTGTCGGAAACTAATCTCTGCCCAAACCCACTTTACTTGACTTTGCTCACCACCCTGTGCAACCAAAAAAGTTTCAGCAATTCCAATTGACCCCCTTCATTCACAGCCTGCTTGGAGAGGAAGTTTATCATTTCTGTTACCCTGGACTTTGTTCACTTTTACTAAGGAAGGACGTTGGCAATTTAATGTTGTTCAAGGCTGTTGTGCTGTTTCTTAATCTGCATTAGTGTTGCGACACTTTGATTATTTCAGTATGCATGTACTAGATTACTGTAGTAGAAGATTGTTCCTTTGGGTGCCTGGAGTATTTTCGGCTATTTATCAGAATCCTTCTTGCACGTCAAAACTGGGATTGACGCAAAACTGGGATAACTGCTTGGGCTGAGGTGCACGGACTCCAACCACAATTTAGTCTTAATCCTAAAGTGATTTAACGCTGCTGACATTAGTTAAATGTTATATGTCTCCCTGAGATACAGCATCTAAGGCTTCAGTCTGCTCTGAGTGCATTGGCACGTCATTCTGTCTCCTATAACGTCAGCATTGCTTGTTTATTTTGCAAGCACAGTTAATGATTGATCTGTTGTGCTGAAAACATTGCATCAAGTGTACAACACAGAAACAGGCCATTCATCCCAGCTGCTCAGTCTGGTTTTATGCTGTACGCTCCTTCAGATCCTTTAAATCATTTCTCCCTCATGCTTATCAGCTTTCTCTTAAAAATGTCATGCTGTTCACTATAACTTTACTGTCACCGCACCACTCGGGGAAAAATTATTTTCCTCAATTGCCTTTTGGATTTATGAACAACCGTCTTAAATTTATGGCTCTTTGTTGTGGCCTTGCAAATGGAAATGTCTTTTCAATATCTACTCTGTCAAATCCTTTAATAATCATGAGGATCTCTATTGGATTATCCCTCAGCCTTTTCTCAGAAAAGGGAGCTTCACCCTGTACAATCCAATAAGTATATCCTCTTAGTTTTTGTATCATGCTTTTGAATTTTTTTGGAATTCTCCAGTGTGTCTATATCTGTTTTATGTCAGAAATCACATGACACCAGGTTATAATCCAACAGGTTTATTTGAAAACATAAGCTTTTGGAGCCTCACTCCTCCTCTAGGTGTTAGTGAAAGAGGTGGCATCGGACACAGCATTGATAAGTAAAAGATCAAAGGGTCACCACTGATGAGGATGTATTAAACAAACCTAAGAATTTGGGCCTGAAATTCGAGGACTTACATATACATATTAATCAATTAAAACCTTCTAACTGATTAAAAATATAACAGCATCTTAGGTTTGTTTAATACATCCTCATCTGTTGTGTGACCCTTTGATCTTTTACTTAGCAATTCCATGTCTGATGCCATCTCTTTCACAAAGCCTGAAGAAGAAGCAAGGCTCCGAAAGCTTGTGATTTCAAATAAACCTGTTCGACTTTCGTGTGATTTCTGACCTTTTCCACCCCAGTCCAGCACCAGCACCTCCACATCATATCCATTTTATAGTAGAGATCAGAACTGTTCACAAGACTTTAAGAAAGATGTAGCTAGATTTCCATCCAATTTCAACATAAATATTATGCTTTTCAGTTTTCTCCCACTAGCAATGAGACTGAGGGTGGGTTGTTTTTGAATGCCTTTTGTAACCCACACCACTAATTGAAACTTTTTGTGAACATACTTCTAAACCCCTTTGCTCCTAAACCCATATTGCTCCTCCCAAATACACAAACTGACACTTGCCTATATTGAAATTTCTTTGCAAATTACATGCCAATTCTGCAAGCTCACTCCTTTTTTCTTGTATTTCATCACTAGTTAGTTGCACTGCCCAATTTGGTTTCATCCATCATTTTGTGACTATGCTCCTTATTCCTGAGAATTATTCTGTAAATTATGAACTCAATAATACTAGCAGGTAACTGTGAGAGATGGGCAACATTCTTTTGAAGAAGCTATGTGGAGTTTCTCCCAGTGTCTTGACCAGTTTTAATCCATCGTAAGACATGACATAGAAGCAGATTATTTGCTTATCTATTTTATTGCTGTTTGAGGAAGCTTGCTGTGTGCAAGTTGGCTGCCTCCATTACAACAATAACTGCACTTCAAAAGTACTTCACTGCTGTATGTAGAGAAGAATGGTATTTTAATGAAGGCATCCCAATCATGTGTGCTTTGTGAAATAGTATTGGGGTTTTTCTGATGTTCGTTTGTGGTTTGTATGTCTGTCATTAGGCATTGACATTTGCATACAAGCATGCCTTGGTGCAGCAAACATTTGGACGTGCTTTGAAGTTTGCTACAAAAATTGTTGAAAATAAGCCAAGTCAAGAAAACTGGAGCAATTGTATTCAGGTTAGTACAAGTTTTCCTTTATCACAAATGAGCAAGGACAGAGAGATCCACCGCTTCTTAATATAGTACGGCCATAATTGTCACGTAGGTTTTATTCCCCATCCGTCTACAAAGTGTCAGAAATAACCTATGTAACTGAACAAAGCAATGAGGGTCCGCATTGTGAGGAAGCTGTAGCCACTGGAACCACTTATCCCAGTGAGGATGATATTTTGGGGATAAACTGTAGGAGCAAGACATTATAAAGGTAATCCATCTCTCCCAATTTACATTTTCATTGAGGCCTGCAGAAATGAAAACTGGGGAGAACTATATGGTGGGCAAATAATCCAAAAAGGTATCACTATGTTTTACACTGTCAACAAAAGTCAAAGTTATTCCCAACAAGTTTAAAATCATCAGGTTAGAGGAGGTGATAGAAAATGTATCAAGTATTCATAAGAGTTTTATCAACTGTACACATTGAATGTGGGGTGGGTGGGAGGAGCAGTATTTGTATTGTCGGGGGGAAGAGTTTATGCTGGGGGTGGAGAGGGTGGTTGTGTTCTTGGCGGGGAGAAGAGTGATTTGTGTTGGGGTTGGGGGAGATGATTTGTGACAGATGGGTGCAAGAGAAGGGAAAGCTTCCTGGCTGGGTGTAACATGAGATGGTTCAGTGACTAATCTCCTTGGGAAAATTAACATCAATGGTCATAGTTCAAAATAATCATTGTGACTGAAACATTGCCATGTTTCTGAAATGTAATGTATAGAGGTACGTCTTTACTTCCTTTCATGTTATATTGTCAAGATTCTAGCATTCAGTAAAACAGCTCAAATGACAAGACACTGGAATTTCACACTAGACAACACTGTCAGACAAAGTATATTTTTTAAGATGTGTTTGGAAGTTTTAGTGTCAGGTCTCTAATAGTTGATCATAGTTTGATTAGAATTGCTGAACAATACTATTGTGTCAACTTTTTTTTTCTTTTACAGTTGATGAAGACCCTCGGTTGGGAGCATTGTGCCGGTTCTTATGAGAACTTTCTCTCAGTGATGTATCCCCCAGATTATGTCCCATTCTAACTTTTCTTATTGCAATAAAGAATGTATGTGTGCATTTTTAACAGGGTTTGATATAGGAGAAGCTTTCTGATAATTGGGCTCAGTTTTGTGTTTGCTCTACTTTTGCTTGTCTTTTTTTTTAAAACTTTGGTATTACTGATGAAGAATCCTACAAAAATACAATATTTTATATCTGCATTGTTATGAAGTCTTCAGATTTCTTTAAGTGCTTTGGCATTTCCCTGCAGTATCACACTTATCACGCCTGAGCTGTGTGTTTTACATTCCATTTCTGATATGGAAATGCAAATGCGGGGCAAATAATCTCACAGCCCTCCCAAAAGATGCTTCAGAGATCACAAGCTGTCTCGATTGCAGTATGTTTCTCCTGGCCTACTTTTCCTTCCAGATGATTAGCGACAACACTCGCCTGTAGTTATTGTGGTCTTGGAGATGCTGTCTTCTGGAAGAGACTTTGAACCTAGGCCATATATCCCCTCTCTGGTGTTATTTCAAAAAAGACCAGGGAGTTTTGCCTGGTGTCCAAGCCAACATTTATCCCTTATCATCACAACATAACAGAAGCAGGTTAAACCTCAGTAATCACATTGCTGCTTGAGAGAGCTTGCTGTGTGCAAATTGCTTTCCTACGTTGCAGCAATGTTTGCATTTCAAAAGTACTTCATTGACTGTAAAATGCTACAAGCATCCAGTAATCATGAAAAAAGGCACAATATAAATGCAAATCCTCCTTTTATGGGCACTTTATCTTCATTCTGTCTACCTGCCTTTGTTTTATAACGCTGTAATACCTGCCAAACAAAGTGATTCCAACAGAATGTGCTGAAGAATCTCAACAGGTCTAGCAGTATATGTGGAGAGAGATACCGAGATAACGTTTCAAAGTTCGATATAGTTCTTCATAGTAAATGTTCTTAGCATTAGCATTCCTGATGCCCCCACCACCCACATTTTTCTCCCCGTCAGCCACTCTGCTGGAGCTATCCCTGTAGTTGCATGAGGCGTGGTCCTATAACCAAACAGATCAAACATGGCACAGTTTGGTATCAATTGAAGCTGTAGGCTGTTCCTTTAAGCCTGCCTTCAGTGTTTGGACCACTGTTTCCACCAGACCATGAGACAATGGATGGTGTTGAGCTATTCGAACATGCCGCATGCTATTTGACTTTTGGAAATACTCAATCCCTGCCGGTAGATGACATCCTGTTGACCAGTACCTTCGGGAGTCAGTGTATTGCAAACGTGCTCCACACTACACTCGACAAAGTTGTTTTGAAAGTCTATTTTCAATTATCACACACTTTTCCACATTGTACTCCATTTGCCAGCTCTTTGCCCAATCAATTAACCCACCTATATCCCTTAGAAGGCTTTTGTCTCTTCACAACTCACTTTCCTATCTATCTTTGTGTTATCAGGAAATTCATCTACCTTTGATCTGTTCATCCAAATCATTTATATAAATTGTAAAGAGTTGAGGTCCCAGCACTGACCCCTTTGGCACACCACTCACGCCCTGCCACCCTGAAAAATACCTACCTATTCCTACTCTCTACTTCCTGTTAACCAGCCAATCTTTAAATAACCCCAATAAATTTGTTAAACAAGACTAAACTTCAACCAAATCTTGTTGGCTCCGTCTGATTACCTTGAACTTGTCCAAGATGCCCTGTTATGACATCTTTAATAGGGCTTCTAATATTTTCCCTGCGACAGATGTTAAGCTAACTGGCCTGTAGCTTCCTGCTTTTTGCCTCCCTTTTTGATTGAAGGAGTTACATTGACTATTTTCCAATCTAAAAGATTCCTCTAATCCAAGATTTGGAAATTTAAACCAACATAACAACTTTTTTACTCACTACTTCTTTAAGACGTTAGGATGAAATCCATCAGGACCTAACTTGGCAACCACAGTTCCAACAATTTACTACTTCACTGGTAATTGTAATTATCTTGAGTTTAACCCCCTCCCTTTTAATTCTTGATTTATGGCTAATTCTGGGATGCTGTTCTATCTTTTATAGAGAAGACCAGTGCAAATTTCTTCAACATTTCCTCTTTTGTGGTGAATCCCTTATATTGACAGCCTCTAGTTATGCACTGCTCCAAAAGTGACAACATTCTTTCGGTATCAATTTTGTCAAAACCTTTTATAATTTTATGAGGTCACAGCTTGATTTTTCTAAGTGAAAAGCCACTCAGCCTTTCCTGATTCATATGCAGACTCGTTTCTGATAGAATTCTTGCAAATTTTCTCTGCAGTCTCTATATTGATCTTACAATATGGCTGTTAGAATTGCACCCAGTATTCTAAGTACAGCCTAAGAAAGGTCATAAAAAGGTTTAGTATAACTTCCCTGCTTTTCAATTCCATCCTGTTAAAACAAAACTTGGAATGTTTACTCTCTGTAACACAGGGTTTTTTTTGTGATTTATATATTTTCTTTTGTTCCTCTAACCAACAAAGACTTGCACTTTCCAAGTAATATGTGATCTCCCAATTCTTCCTACCAAAATGTTTTATCTAGAATTATCTTTCTTGAATATCATATACCAATTATTTGCACATGCTGCAAGTTTGTTCATGCCTATTCATGAGGCAGCACGGTGGCTCAGTGGTTAGCACTGCTGCCTCACAGCACCAGGACCCGGGTTCAATTCCACCCTTGCATGACTGTCTGTGTGAAGTTTGCACACTCTCCCCGTGTCTGCGTGGGTTTCCTCCCCACAGTCCAAAGATGTGCAGGCTAGGTGGATTAGCCATGCTAAACTACCTGTAGTGTTCAGAGATGTGGAGCTTAGTTGGCCTATAGGGGGATGGGTCGGTGTAGACTTGTTGGGCTGAAGTGCCTGTTTCCACACTGTAGGGATTCTATGATCCTTTTCTCTAACTTGTCGTGATTTCTTCTCAGTACTGTCCAGCAGTGTCCTCAAGTATGTGTATTTTGTAAACTTGGAAACTGTTGTTTGTTGCAACATCCAAATTGTTGCTGGGCCCAGTACAGGACCTTGTGGAACTCCACTCTCTGGACTCAGTCTCAAAGGCAACTAGCAATCTATTCTGCCACTTCTCCCTCTTCAAATTCTAAGGCCTTTTTCATTGATAAGATGTCCCACTCTAGACAAAGTCGTTTTGGAAATCTATTGTCTAGCCATTGTCTTTCTGATGCCACCTCTGAAAATGTAATAAGGTCATTCAAACAATATGTTCCCTTCTAAAGTCTGTGCTGACTATTTGTACTTTTCTCGATGTCTTTCCACTTCCTTTTTTAGAAGGGATTCCATTACTTTTCCAATGTTAAGCTGGCTGGTCTACAAATTTCCCTGGATGTGTCCTGTCCTCCTCAAATAAATATATCAACTAGATTAGCTACCCACCAGTCCTCTGGCATTGCACCATTTCTATTCAGTTGTTAAATGTGTGTCATAATGCCTCTGTTAGTTCTCACTTAGCTTATTTTAAAATTCATGCAATCCGTCTAGATCAGGGGCATTATCTTCTGAGTTTATTTAATGCATCATTTTTATTTTCACTGCCCTTATCTCATTACTTATCCATCATTCTGTCTACCAGTCCTATCATTTTGGTAAATGCCAAAGTCAAATAATTAATACTTCTGCTGTCTGTCGTTCTGTCCTATGCGTTATGATCTGCCATAATCTTAATTGTCCTCTTCCTACTGAAGCCTTCCTTCTGTTATTGATGTGCCTGTAAAATATTTTAGAGTTTTGTTTTATATTCTTCGAAAATGTAATTTCAAAAGCAAAGTACTGCAGATGCTGTAAATGTAAAATAAAATGATGGAGCAACTCAGCAGGTCTGGCAGCATGTGTGGAGAGAGAACTAGTTATGTTTTGAGTTGACCTTTCATGAATTTTTCTAATGAAATAACAGTCAGTGATGACCAACACATGCTGACCTTGCCAGTGATGTTCACATCCAGTAAAATCAGAATTTTACAGTGCAGAAGGAGACCATTCGACCCATCGTGTCTGTACCAGTCCCAAAACAGTTACCCAGCTAGTCTCATCTCTGAAGCCCTCTACATTAATCATTTTTTTAAGAAGTTGCCCTGTTTCAGTTTTTTGCTCTACTTTTGACCTCGTTGAAATTCTGTGATATCAGTGATTCCTGATGTATTCTCGCCTCCCTGATTCGTCTGTGTATTTCTTTCAGATCAGGTGGTTGGATGTAGCCTGAACTTTCCTCAATGAGATCGAAGCTTTTACTAAAAAGGTTTATTATTTTCAGTTTTGTAGTTACTGCACATCCACCAAGCAAGGAAAAAACCTCAAGGGAGGACTGTGTAATTGTAGTAATGTTTGAGTTAACATGGCTTGATGGGGCTATGTGCTCTCCTGAGTGTCCACTTGTCTAAATGTTATACTTGGCAATGTTATTCTGTAGCTGTATCTCAGTGAACCTCACCGAACCCCACAAGGCTGCTTCCAGCTCCCCTGTTTTATTATCGATGCTTTGTGTGTTGATGTATAGACAATTTAACTAAACTTCATATTTAACCATTTTGTTAGACTAGTCAAACACCATTTATTGCTGTATTGTCAATGTCCCTTTATCATGTCCTGTGCTGTTCTTCCCTGTTTTGTTTGCATTCTGACTGCTTGCCATGCGCCATTGAAATGAAAACCCTCTTTTCCGCACCAGCTTCTTTATCTACATGGTAATTCTCTTGAACGGTTGCTGTGCCAATTTGCATGTGCCTAGGACAGTAATCCAGAGACAACTATCCTCGAGGTACTACATATTAATGCGAGGCTGAACCCCTGACATAGTTTCAGCAGGATCTCCTCCCTTTCCAAGTTGCTGTCGATCTGCTGGTTATATCCCTCATGCTGACACCATTTGGGATTCTTGTTCATGCTGTGGAGGACTCTGTCTCTCTCTGTCTCTTACCTCCCCCCTCTTTCCTCGTCCCCCCTCTCCCCCCATTATTGAGTCCCTTCTTACAACCCCATTTCTGTCTAGGCCCGAAACGTCAGCCTTCCTGCTCCTATGATGCTGCTTGGTCTGCTGTGTTCATCCAGCTCTACACCTTGTTATCTCTGGTCTATAACAGTCCTTTTAACAACATTGCAGACTTTCTCTTTGTCTTCATCAGTAACAATCTTTATGAAATCCTCGCTACCTGTCTTCTTACAAGTCACTCACTCCCTTTTCTGATCCTGTATTTTGCCTCCGCATGTGACTATCCTGGATGAAACTTACAAGAGAGACTCACCGCCACCCCCTGGATCTCAGAGTCTCTCACAGACATACTGCAGCATAATGAGAGGCTCGAGATGGTGATATTTCCTGCAGACGTTTCACTTGAGCTAGTCTCACCATGCACAAACTGCACCATGTAGTCCAGATGCACCGCCTACCCGGTCGTACCTTAGACCATCCTAATTTTATTTATGCAATTAGACTGTTTATTCATTAATTTTTGTATAAGATACAAGTTTACTACAGCACTTTCTTGGTCCTGCTTTAACCCTAATTTACAAAAGGAAATCTTACAACTCCCCAAACAACCTCACCTACTCGATGCATCTAGACTTGCAAACTTCCACACCATTTCTCAAACCACTCCTCATTTAGTAAAAAAAAAAATGCATCTTTTCTCTCACTGCTCTGAATCTCATCATGCACCAAATACTCTGAAGTTCAACAGAGTACTTTATTGAGCTAGACTTCATGGTGCAGACTCCAGTCCCATACCAATGTGGTTGATTCTTAAGGGCACCTCTGAAGTGACCCAGGAAACCCCTCAGTTGTATTACTGTCTTGCAAAGACAATAAAGGATGATCCTGCTACTAATACCCACATCCACGCAATGAATGCCAAACTCCAGACTTTCATCTCGATTTGTATGTCCTCATCTCCTCTTGTTCTCTGATTGTAGTTCACCTTGGCAGACCATCTTTCCTACATTAAACTAAAATCAAATCCATCTCACCTGTCTGCAAGGTTTACTCATCTCAGTTTGTTGAATGCATGACATGCTCCCTGGCACCAACTGAAGCAACTGAGATCAAAACAAGATCCCAACAGTCAACCGATCCAGCAAGTAAATGATAAATCAGTGAAGCAAACATTGAAACTGCAGTTTTGCATGGTAAATGAAATTAACATTTCATAAGTTACTGTTGTGAAATACAGATCTTCATATCAAATGTATTTCTGTTATTTACATCAGTGCTGTTTATTTTAATGTCCAGATCTGAAAATGTTTGTTTTGGTTTTCTATGTCGTCGTTATTTCAGGACATGCATATTCTTTATACTACTACAGTGGCATTATAGATTCAGGTAACCATGGCCATACCTTCTCATTTAGAGCAGCTTTTTGTCGGTCTATCTATATCCAGCAATTAAAAATGGATATGATTAAATTGCTGTAATTTTCAGTTCCTGCACCTGGATGAAATATCTTGCACAGTGACGTTGTGAGGAAAGGCCACCACTTCATGTGAATTGTTAGAAGATTAGACCGAATTCTCTGCAAACGAGGCTCAGTATTCAATCCAAATAAATCATTAACAATGCCATTTTTAAAAGATGGAATATATATCTGTTGAAGGTAATTGATGATGACCTGTAACAAAATTGGCCAGGTCCCAGAAAGTAGTGTCAAGGCTGTTTGGCAAATAGGGTTAAGGAGAATCCAAAGAGATTCTGCAAATACATTAGGAGCAAAAAAAAAACCAAGAGGAGAATAGGGCCCCTTAAAGACCAACAAGGCTGTCTACGAGTGGAACTGCAGGAGATGGGTGAGATACTAAATGAGTATTTACTGTGGAGAAGGATATGGAAGCTAGAGAACTTGGAGAAATAAATAGTGATATCTTGAAAAGTGTCCATATTACAGAGGAGGTGGTACTGGAGATTTTAAAATGCATAAAGGTGAATAAATCCCCAGGACCTATCTTTGTGGGAAGATAGGGAATCTCTTTGCTGAGATATTTGTATCATCAATAGCCAGGGGTGAGGTGCTAAAAGGCTGGAGGTTGTCTAACGTGGTGCCATTATTTAAGAAAGGTCGTAAGGAAAGGCCAGGGCACTACAGACTGGTGAGCCTGAGGTCAGTTGGTGGGATTCTGAGGGACAGGATTTACATGTATGTTGAAAGGTAAGAACTGATCAAGTATAGTCAACATGGCTTTGTGTGTGGGAAATCATGTCTCGCTAACTTGATATGAGTTTTTTGAAGAAGTGACAAAGAAGATTGATGAAGGCAAGAGTTGTGGACATTGTCTATATGGACTTCAGCATGGCATTCAACAAGGTGCCATATGGTAGACTGGTTATCAAAGTTAGCCATTTGGATACAAAATTGGCTTGAAGATAGGAGACAGACAAATGTTGGAGGTCACAACGAATCAGACAGTATCTATGAAGAGAGCAAGCTAAAGTTTGAAGTCGAGATGACTCTTCATCAGAGCTGAAGTGAAGTGTGGTGGGGAGAAGTGGAGGTAGTGGGTGTGAGGAGAAAAGATGTTGATAGTTCAAATTGAATGATTGGCATTTGAGAATGGTAGAACAATAGTGTGTCTCCTGGCAGACTTGAAAGGATAGTCTTTGGGATGGGAGGAAGGGAGGATGTGATAACAAGCTAAAATGGAAGGAATGGTTTACAAATTAAACATAATTGAACATAATATTAAGTCCAGAAGGCTGTAAAGTGCCTAGTCTGAAGATGAGATGTTGTTTCTCCAGTTTGTACTGTGATTCACTGGAACACTGCAGCACACCAAGGACAAACATGGGCATATGAGCAGGAAGCTGTGTTTAAAATGACCAGCTATGGGAAGGTCAAGGTCCTGCTTGCACACAGACCAGAGGTGTTCCTGAAAGCAGTCACCAGGTCTGTGTTTGGTCTCTCTAATGTAGAGTAGGCCACATTGGGTGCAGCCAATACAATGCACAGATTGGAGGAGGTACAGGTGAAATGCTGCTTCACCTGGAAAGACTGTTTAGGCCCTTGGACGGTGAGCAGAGAGGAGGTGAAGGGGTAGCTCCACCCTTACATGAGAAGGTGCTGCGGAGAGGGGGTTTGGTGTTGATGGTTATGAATTGGACTAGGGTGTCTCAGAAGGAACGGTCCCTGCAAAATGCAGATAGGGGGAGTAAGGGGAAGATGTGTTTGGTGGTGGCGTCCTGCTGCAGTTGTCTGAAATGGCGGAGAATGATCCTTTGAATGCAGAGACTGGTAGGATGTAAAGTGAGGACAAGGGAAACCTGATCACATTGTTGTGAGTGATGGGAAGGGACAAGGGCAGAAGCACGGGTGATAGGTTGGATGCGGTTGAGGGCCCTGTCACCGGTAGGAGCATGAAGCGGCACCAAAGCGCTCGTCGATTTATGAAAAAAAGAGTTTTGGAAGGGGGCCAGTGTAAGACTAGGAGATGCAGGATGATGGTGGAGGGTTGTTTTTCAGACTGGAGGCCTGTGACTAGTGGTGTGCTGCAAGGATCAGTGCTGGCCCCACTGCTTTTCACCATTTATATAAATGATTTGGATGTGAATATGCGAGTGGCCAGTAAATTTACTATACAATATCAACACAATATCCTTTTATTTGTCAAGTGTGCCCCATTGTAGGAGTACAGTGAAAAACCTTTAATAATGCCTACCTTCTTATGGTGACATCTTAGGTACAAGTACCTAGGTACAATTCTTGGAGACAGCAGAGGGACAGAAGTAGTTGTTTAATTACAGTGTTGAGTGTATTAAGAGGTTAACATTACAGTGTTCTCAGGTAGGGATTGTCCCCTCACATGGGTCTCTGTCCTGGACTCACTGCCTGCACG